AGGGCAACGGTTCGAGCCGGCCCCATGACAAAATGTTTAAAAAAAAAAAATGTAAAATTATTATTAATCTTAATATCAATATTGTGTGAACTGTTTTAATTGTAGTTATTTAAATAAGGGTAAACTTTTATTTTTTTTATATCAATTAATATAAAAAATAATTACACCATTAAATTTTGTATTAAAAAATATTTTTAAAATTTTTTTATAAGAATTTTAGGTTGCTAAATTGGATTGCAAAAAAGAACTCACTTAGCTTGTTTTAGAATAATAGGTATTATTTTATTTTGTTTTTAGATTAAGAATTTAGAGATAATTTTTGTTTTTATTTATTTTATTTTTTAAAAAATAAAAAAGAATTTTTTTATAATAGGGTGAATAAATTAAAATTTAAAAAAATAATGATAAAGTTGAAGTTAAAATTAAAAAATATTTATATTTCTTATAATATAAAAAATAATTATTAGTTTAAAATAAAATTTAGATAAAAAAAATTTATTATTATAAAATGAAATGCGTAATTAAATAGTACTAATGAGGGAAACAGGAAAGGACCACAGGCCAAAAACCACATTAGGTTGTGGCAATTATCTCTTTCTCTCTCTCTCTCTCTCGCTCTCTCTCTTTCTGTCTATTTATTGCTTAGATGTTTTTTAATCAATTTTTTGTACTTTTAAAGACCAAGCTCTCCTTGGTTCTCATATTGGCCTAACATATTAAGGAATTACTTCCTAAGTTGAATTTTGGTAAACTTAATTTTTAGTCTTTGTCTAATAAAATAATTAAATGAACATTTATTTCCATTTTATCATTAGTATTTAAATAAAATTTTTATTTAATATACATTGTACTTTAAGTTTACTAAAATTAAACAAAATATATAATTTTTTAAATATTAACTTTAAATCTTGAATTTTAAACTTAGTATATAAGACTAGAGATGAGCATTTTCAAATAGGGATAACATATAAGTTATATTTGGTACTTGATTTAAAAAGTTTTAGGTATAAGTTTTTAAATTTGGTACCTAGTCAAATACTTAAAGTCCTATATTTAATAATTAACTTAACAAATATCAGATAACTTACAAATATATGCTTATATATTTGATTTAGAAAAAAAAATCTTATATAAAATGCTACTATTATATGTGTTTTATATGTTTAGTTTAATCTTTATTATTTATACGAGTTGTTATTGTTATATGTGTGATTTATTTAATTTATAAATTTTACTTAACTTTGATTTTTATTTTTGTTATTATTATTTTTTTGGTATCAGAAAACTGTTTTTCAGTACGGACTATAAAATTTTTTTACAGTTCACACCTCCAAAACGACGTCGTTCCTCATTTTATCTGAAAAACCTTTTATTCCTCTGATTCTCTTTGCATCAGATCTCATTCCCCTTCATCTTCTTCGCACTCTAGACCCTCTTCTTCAAAGTTCAAATCCGAGAAAGAACCCCTGCAACTAGGTTCAAAAGTCGTTTGTTAAGTGACTCCTCTCATTCTCGCTCCAGATCTCATTTCCCTTCATCTCTTCACACTCCAAACCCTCTTCTTCAGCGTTCAAATCTGACAAGGAACCCTTGCAACTATATTCGAAAGTCATTTGTTGAGCGCCTCCTCTCCAATACAATTACTTTTCTTCTAATCGATCACTAAAAGGTTTCTTCTCTCCGGAACATGCTTTTTCGACATCAAAGAGTAGTAAGGGTGAACAGGCGACCTATGGTGGGTTCATACAGTGTCATTTTACTCGAGGAGGATATTGTTGTGGCTTAGTTTGTTCTTCTTTGTTGCACAGCTTTTTCTCAATATTTGTTACTTGAATTTAATTTGATTTCTTTGGTTTTTTTTTTTTTTTAATCATATATGGGTGTTTTGGTGTTAACTGCGTTGAAGGAGAATTCATACTAGCAATAGAAAAGGGGAAGCTTTGATGATGAAGAAGATGAAGGGGAATGAGATCTGGTGTGAAGAGAACAGGAGGAATAAAAGGTTTTTTAGATAAAATGAGAAACGACGTCGTTTTGGAGGTGTGAACTGTAAAATTTTTTTACGTTCCATACTGAAAAACAGTTTTTTGATATAATATTATATATACTTAATATTCTATTTACTAGCATCTAGCTACTAGTCCTTTCCATAAATTGTCAGCTGACTTTTTCTTTTTAAAACTAAGACAGCGAATTTCGACTTCTCGATGCAAGCCACGACAGAGCTACACACCGCCGTGCCATTTACAATCACGGAAAACGCTTCACAGTCCTAATTCCTCTTCAAGTAAGCGTATCTTCGATAATATTTTAACCGAAGCCGACGTGACAAGAAGGTTGAAAACACCAGCAAGTTTCGTGTCATCTCTCCCAGTAGGGTTTTCTAATTCAACGGATTTACGTAGGAAGCTAATAATTGGGGATGTGAATAGAATATTGGCAGTACCAATACAAACTTTGGGCACCCGTCGGAGCCATTTTGAGCCTCGTAGAGACACGGGTGATTTGAATATTTTGGTGAAGGACTCAACTGACAGTGTGTGGAAATTCCGTTGCTCAACACGGGTCAGCCGGGAACTTCGTATTGTTGAAGATTGTACAGCTTTCATTCTGAACCAAAGTATTCAAAGTAACAATCAGGTTGTTTTATGTGAAGTGGACCTTACTACCAGAGCTAATTACAGAAGTGAAGCAACAATCACCGGACTCATTACCGTCATCGGCTTTGACCTAGTTCTCAATTGTCCTAGGGCTAGTTATCAGGATGGAAATTAGCTGAAGAAGGGCTCCCTGTTTCAAAATTTCCAGCCGATGTCCGCATTATGTTCTGTTTCTTATGAAGCTGATCGAAGAAGGTCTCCTTGTTTCAAAATTTCCAGCCGATGGTCCACAGTATGTTCTGTTGCTTATGAAAATGTAGATGTTCTGTTTTTAATGTAATATGTTCCGTTTTCTTATGATAATGTAAGAGTGAATGATTGAGTAATGTAATAAAGCAGGGTGATGCCATACGGGTCTCTAACTTTTCTTTAACTTCAATCTTTTTTTTCCTAATTTGAACAAAGACTGAAATTGGATTATATCATAAGTCTTCTATTTTGCTATTTAAACTATAAATAAAAATTATTAAATAAAAAACTAATTTTAATATAAAAAAAATCTCTTATTTAATAATTTAAATTAATTTGAATTGTACAACATTTTTTTTATATTATTAACAGTAATTTACAGGTACAAACAGAAAAGCACTGAGGGTCTGTTTTGGTACAGTTTGTTGAAGTTTTTACTTTTAAAGTATTGTTTATAAGTAATAAGTTTAAATTTTTATTGGAGGAAAAATTTAAAAATTACTTTTAGAGATAAGAAAAAGTGAATAAAAAAAAGTTTATGAAAAATTTGAATTTAAAACTTTTGATTTTTTACTGTTTAGGGTCATTTTAAAGGTAAAAAAAAGTTAAAAATGTAAGTTTAAAAAAAAATTTTAATTTATAAAATATAAATAGTATCAAAAAATTAAAATAGTTAAGAAACTGCAACAAACACACCCTAAGCAAGGCCACTGCTAGTTGGGCAATATGCCTCTGCCCAGTTAGAGGACATTGACCCTTTAAAACATACTTATAGCCACCCAGTCAGCTACCCTTTTAGCATTTTAAAAATAATTTAAATTTTCATTTTGAAGTTCTATACTTTCAGGACTTCTATTAAATTATTAAATTCCAAATTTCCAACATTTAAACAATAAATCTTAAATATTTGAACCCTAAAAATTCTAATAATATAAATTTTAAACTTTGAATCTTTCTTCCTTTTTTT